CGTCAAAATTCGATTATAATTTTGTATCAACGCTATACCTCGTTCAGCAATATCATTAAAAAATTTAATACTTGTAATTGTCTCTAGGACATTTTTTTAGAGAATTTAATGCCCTACAAGAATATGCCTAGAAAAAACGTGTATCCCTTTTATAACTTTTTTTAATGGTTCAAATTTTATAAAATTTTTAACGAAAACAAATTTTTTTTACATGTTATTTACATAGAAAATTTCAAATGCCCACCGACACCTTTTAAAAATTAAATAAAAATGTTTCCAAATGGGAGAATTTCATTCACATTAAATATGTCACTTTAAGGCCATAAATTCGATAGATTGGTTATGTTGGATCACCCTACTATGTATATACAAGAATTACTCGTTTACAGTAATAATAATAAGTGGCAAGTTGCCCGGAAAACACCATCCAAAAAAATCTGGATCCGCCGCTGGGCCTGTGTTATTATTGATTATGCATTTGGATGTGAAATAGCACATTTTCTAATATTTTTTAAGCATATTTGCGCTCCAATGCAACGAACATACTTGTTTTAAATAAGCCATCTTACAAATACTTTTATCAAAATAAAAATTCCTCACACACAAATATTTCCACTGATAAAACTTATATATATCTAGAAAACAAAATGACATATGGGTATTTCCATACGTCGCATGCGTGATAGTCGTACGTTTCAATGTGATACAAACAAGGAATACCATTTGTTTTCTTTAACTTTTTTGGGCCATTGTATAGCACATATTTAGCTCTATATTTAACCGAAAAATTAAAACAATCGAACTGCTTGGTCCTGAAATATAAGCATTTAAAGATGAATGGAAGTAGATCTTTTCTTTTCTTACAAAATCGCAAAACTCTGCGAATTGTAGATGGCTATTTTCACGAAACTTATTTTAGTATGATTTGGAGCAATTCTAGTTGTTTCTAAAGTTTTTTGAATTAATGCAACTTGTTTCAATTTTCTTTTACAACCCCAAGTGTGAAACGTCACGTGACGTAGCGTCATGTGACATAAATTTTCGTCGTAATATTTTTATTAATATTGCTTTTAAATGAATTTTTAGCGAAAATAAAACATGTATTTTATGTAGAATATACTTTATGTTTTGACTTCAACGCCAATTCAGGGTGAATTTGTTGGAAATCTATGACTTATTATGTTTCAACTACGTACGCCAAATTCGAACCAAATCGGACCATAAATACGGTTTTTCGAAATATCTCAACCTTGGCGCCACCTAGGAAGACCATTTTACGCAAAGATGGTTCTACTTACATAGCCAGTATATATTTTAAAAAGCAGACAAATTGGCCCGCAAATACGTTAGATATAAGACTTTTATTTTTTTTTGTCGTGGTGTACCTTCCGATGGAACCACCCATATGGTAGGCAATAATTTTCGCCTGTGAAGATGCGACGTTAGCTAGTCTTTCAGCGTTGTAAGGGGTAATACGGCTTTCCTACGGCACACACAGGACAAAAATTACGATTTAGGTGGACAAAAATAATTAACTAATAAAATTGATTTGGGGCGTGGGAAATTAAATTATATGATGGTTTTAAGCTATTTATGCAAAAATAACAGCATTAATAAAAATATAAATTTACCGAACCCTGCGAAAAATAGTTTTATCCATTTTGTTCTGAAACATGATATTAACATTTCGATATTTACTTGAATTAAATAATAGTAACAGAAAAATATTGTACAGGTTGACCGTGAACAACATGGGGGTTTCGTAGCAAATAAAAAATTTGGATATTCATCGTTTCGCTTTGTATTTTTATATTTTTTATTTGCCAATCAGCTGATGCGAATATATTATTTGGTAGCTGTAAACAAAATACAGTTACTCTTAAAGTGCTTCAGCGGTTCAAATTTTTTTTTTCTAAACAAATAAAAAAATATTTTTATAAAAATCAAATGAGGGTACTCCAGGTACTTTTTTATCATAATTACTGTTACACGTAAACTAATGGAAAAATAGAAACTTACTTGTAAAAAGTCCTTCCTTATTATTGTTAGATTTATTTATATAATGTAATTTCTATTAAGTAAACTTCAAGTCGAAATACATTACAGCCTAGAATACAACGATGGTAAAGTTTATTCAAGGCTAGTTCTTCAACTTAAAAACTTTGTACTCGGGATCAATTGGAAACAAATTTTCCACCATAAATTGCCAAAAATTAAAGGGTAAGTCCTAGCATCTACAGCCCAAGCTCTTTCATTTGACACCTCATTTTCGAAAATCGAACGAACGGTGCAGATTTGATGACATGGACAAAAAATGCCTTTGGGTGTTATATATATCAACGGTGGGCAAACGCGGCTCTTTGAGCCAAATGCGACTCTTTGCTCAGAAAAGTGCGGCTCTTTTTACTTTCTATTTGCTTAGAACATTTTGGCTCTTTTTACTTTTTAAAATAAATATCTCTTTGCTAGACATTATTTTTCTTACCCGGAATTCGAGAATGAAAATTAGCTTTCTGACTTAATGTTCTTCACCGATTTGATGAAACCGGGGCTGCCAGATGTTTAGAGTATAAAATCCGCACACAGACAAAAAGTGGTGGGTGAAAAATGCGTAAGCTCAAATTTGTTTGCCGAGAAAAAAAAAAATCGTTTGTACTGAGGTGAACACACGAATCGGACTTTTAATAACATCAAATAAAGCAGCACATATTTCCACTAGTCCTATTTATTGATTGCTTCACAGACAAGTTTATTATTTTTCTGACTAGAACTTTTTAACAAGCAGTGTGTTCTTAGTTTATGTACATGCAACAAAAGTTTTCAGGTAGGTTTTCGACCCTACAGAGTAACAATATAATGTTTGAAGCGATGGTTAAATTGGGAATAAAGAAAATTTAGATTTTGCGAAACAAAAATTCCCAAGAATCGAAGTCTACCACTAGATTGTTATACATAATTTTAAAGGCCTATAAATCTTCTCATATTTGATTTTTAAAATCGGGTGAAAAATAGTCAAGCTTTTAATAGATAAGTAGTCTCTCATAGACAAAAATCGTACCTTTACGGCGGTGTAAATTTGAATCCGTTATGTCAATCCGTTTTATTTTAATCGGCAGTTGAATTACAGATTTTGAAAACACGGTTAAAATTAATTATTTCTTGCTATTCAGTTATTTCGTAATTAAAGAAATTTTTTCATTTGAAAAATTTTTTGATATAAAATAATTCGGTGGATTTCGTTGTTAAAAGCACCGTATTTTAATATAAGTTTTATAATCATGTCACCATTGGAAATGGAGAAAATTGCTTTCGAACACAGACCGTCTACAGACCGGCTTGCCGACATATAAAAATCCAGTTTGCATTTTTGACCGTCTGCAGACGCGATTGCCGGTTCGTAGGTCAACATTGTGTAAGAGAAAGCTGAAAATATGTGTAAGTATATCGGCGAGCCCGTCTCCAGACGGAAAAAGTTACTGTCACAGATCGAAATGGACATCATTTTTGGATTTCTCGTGCTAAATAAATTCACCCATTCCTGAATTTTTCAACTCATAAAAAAATTGGCCTACTAGAGGGTTAAGAAAAGCGGAGAAGAATTGGTGTTTTTGCAATGAAAAGTAGATAAGACTCTGGAAATGCAACATATGTAAAGATTTGCACTGCTTGAATTCAGGCAATATCTGCTGTTGAAAACAGCTGCGTGCCGTATATTTTCAATTTTTGGTACAACGTATAACTCTGAGTCTTTGCAAACACTCTACACTGAAATTCGTTAAGTCAAAGTACCTGTTGGATCACCCTAATAGCATTAATAGCAAATATTAAAAAACACTAATTTCATGAGTTAATAACCACCCGTAATGTACTTATAAACTAAAACACACTCATTGTAAACACACATATGTATACACATGTACACACGCCTAACGTTAAGAATCAACGTCTCATTGCACTCATTCTCAGTCTCACTTAATATTTTAGTTATGCATACATAAATTGAATTCTAATAAAACACAGCATATCGATCTCTCATTTGGAACGGGTCGCTTTTTATTGTCTTCGCTTTGGTACGTTGGATTTTGCTGACAGTTGCTAACACATAGGGCTGGTTTCTCCAACTCAACTTAACTTAGTTAAGCCAATTTTCTTGACTAAGTCAAGAATAAGCTGTGTAAAACGTAGGCTAACTTTTGACTTAAGTCCAAAAAGTGGCTAAACTAAGTTAAGTTGAGTTGGAGAAACCAGCCCATGGTGTCGCTAGTTTTCCACATCACATACGGACAAGCATATCTTTGCTCATTGCTGTTACAATTTATTCGCTGGCCAACATTTGCACACCCCCACTTCCTAAGTTTCGTGCTGGCAAAGAAAAATATCTTTGTATTAACATTTTGACGCCCAACGTGGGGCCCGTGTGCAATTTCATCGTGCAAATTTACTACTTCGATCCGAATTACCACAACGCATCCACATCTCATAATATTTTCGCAAAACCAAACATAGCCCGCAAGGTTTCAGTTCATCCGCCGCAATTGTGCTGTAAATTTCCCGCGGATCCCGTTGATCAAAAACACAATTTCGCTGCTGCACCGCATAGGTAGAGACATATGTACATATTTGCTGATCCATATACAAAAACATACATATGTAAGTAGAACATCTGAACATTCGAACCATTTGCTCACTGGAAATCGTACGTATACATAAAATCATTGCCTTTGTCACTGCCAACCTTTTTTTTCTTTGCGTCTGCATTCACGTTCGCTGCTGCTGCTCTGCACTCATTGCATTGCACCTTTGACGACCACTGCGCTGCTTGCGTATACACCCACCCACGTCCAAGCTAACGTTGCTCTGCTTTTCGTCCCGCTATCTTCGCTTGTTTTGCTGCCTACGTCATTGGTTGACTAGCAGAATTCGTCCTCTTCGCTTACATTAGCATAACCCAGCAGATAACTTTACAATCACTCAGGTCGTATACCACGTCGCAGGTCACCATGTCACTAGACGAATGCAAACGCAAGCGCTCCAATATTAAACGTAATATTTCACGTATAAAATCTATTGTAGAGTCGATTCGAGAAACGGAGGACAAACCGCCGCACGCCGAGCTTCAATGTCGCTTAGGAATTTTGGAGTCCTACTTCAAACAAGCACTTTCAGTACAAGCTGACATCGAGGATTTGGATCCATCCGACAATGGTCGAGCCGACTTAGAGGACAGCTACGTAGCTGTAAAGCTCAGCATACAAGCACCACTTGGGGAGGATGGAAATACCACGGTGAACTACACTGAGACGGCTGCGTCAGCACCTGTGGTACCGACTTCACATCTACCAAGATTGTCGCTGCCTACATTCAGTGGAGACTACGCTGAGTATAAAAATTTTATAACGTCCTTCACTCAAATAAAAGCACGTGAGTCTAGACTATCGAATATAGAGCGGTTTAACTACCTTTTGTCCTGCTTGAAAGGCTCAGCTTTAGAAACTGTCAAGGCCTTTCAAGTAACTAGCGAGAATTACCCAAACGCGTTGGATAGACTCAAAGAACGATTCGATAATCCGACTTTGATATTTTTAGAAGGAATCGCTTCGCGTTTTACGCTCCAACCAGCTGAAAAATCGAACGCTCAGTAGTTGAGAAGTCTCGTAGACAAAGCATCCGCCATCTTTAGCTCGCTGGAGTCACTGGGCACAGGCTCTGATATTGCGCAAGCCATGTTGATCTACATCGTCATGGGCAAATGTGACCAGCAGACTCACAACAAATGGAATGAGTCCCTGGACTACAAATCGCTCCCAACTTGGTCTAAATGTACTCAAGTTTTAGATCGCCACTGTCAATTTTTACACTCATCTGATTCGTCAGTGAAACGCAAGTCGGAATCTGGCAAGCACAATCGTGCGACGAACCACAATCAACAATCATCATTTGCTGTAACCAATTCTAATTGTGTATTCTGTTCCAGCTCCAAGCATTAACTTACTGGTTGCCCTAAATTTAAGGAGATGACTTCAAATCAGCGCTTCGACACCACGAAAAAGTATGACCTTTGTATCAACTGCCTAAGTAATGGACATAGAATGGCTCAGTGTCCAGCAAAGCATCGATGTCGCACTTGCAACAAAGGCCATCACACGATGCTACATCATGGCAATTCATCTCAAGCCACTTCGGCGACACAGCAACCAGCGTTCACAACGCAGACTTATTCACTGGCGCATTCGTCGCAAGCTGCAACACATTCGCATATGGGAACGCCGGAATGCGGGCAAGTGATATTGGCAACGGCTATGGTTATCGTCAAGGATGCAACAAACTAGGCAGGGCTTTGCTAGACTCGTGCTCGCAAGTGAATTTCATCACGCATGACTTCGCCCAAAAACTTCGCCTTAGTCGCGAAAAACATCACGTTGGTATACGTAGCATTGGAAATTCGCTGACGAACCTAAAGGCACGCACAACTACGACTGTCAAGTCGCGGACTTCGGACTTCAGTCTGTCTCTACAATTCGGCATTATAACGAATGTCGCCTGCCAACCGGATGCTGAAATCGATACGTCGACGTGGAACCTTCCACGCAACACAACTTTGGCAGACGAGGAGTTCTTTAACCCTCGTCGTATCGATCTGCTCCTTGGAACAGAGGCATTTTTCGAAGCACTTGCAGTTGGTCAAATCCGGCTGGGAGCCAGTTTACCAACGCTGCAAAAAACGTTATTCGGCTGGATCGTTTCTGGCAGATATCAGCAACCACGTCAAGCGGATGCATCTACTTGCCTGATGTCATGTGAAGATTGTATCGATAAAAATATACAACATCTATGGGACCTCGAAACTATCACAACAGCAGTAAAACCCGTTCATCCTGAACACAGCATTTGCGAAGACCACTTTTTAGCTACCACGCATCAGGATGAAACAAGACGCATAATCGTAAGTCTGCCATTCAAGGACAACCCGACTTGTCTGGGAAACTCCTTCGAAATCGCTCGTCGCCGATTCATTTCGATCGAGAGACGTCTTTTAAAATCGCCTGACATCCGTTCGCAATATATTTCATTTATGGCCGAATACGAAAACCTCGGTCATATGTCCGTTGTGGCAAACCAAAATTTAGATGAGCCTCATTTTTACATACCTCATCATTGTGTCCTATAGCCGAACAGCGAATCAACAAAACTTCGTGTCGTGTTCGACGCCTCATGTAGGACGACATCGCACAAATCATTAAAAGATCTACTTTTAGTTGGACCAACAATTCAACAAGAGCTGTACATATTGTTGCTACGATTTCGCTTGTTTCGATACGCTATAACTGCAGACGTCACCAAGATGTACAGGCAAGTACTTTTGAACAATAATGATCGTAAATACCACTATATTCTTTGGCGAGCTTCTCCAGATCTGGAACTCCGCACATATCAACTAAATACCATCACATACGGAACGGCCTCGGCTCCATATCGTGCAGTGCGAAGCCTTCACTATTTAGCAGACAAGTGCATGGATGAGTTGCCAGTTGGTGCCTCGGTTGTGAAGTCGTCTTTCTATGTGGATGATATGCTTTGTGGAGCTGACAGCATTGATGCCTTGCGTACGGTAAAAAGCCAAGTTAGTGCAGTTCTCGAGAGAGGTAGCTTTCCATTGTCGAAATGGCACTCCAACCACGTAGACTTCAGGGAATGCCAAACATCAAAAGAGCTCAACTTCACAGAAGATTTAGTAACACTTGGTATCACATGGGATCAACTGGAAGATGTGTTCCTGTTTACATTTGCACCAAAGGAAATTCATACTGCGGTCACAAAACGCACGATCCTTTCGATCGCCTCATCACTCTTCGACCCGCTCGGATTGCTTGCACCTCTTCTGATCACATCCAAAATCGTACTCCAAGAACTGTGGCTTTTAAAGCTCGATTGGGACGAGTCCGTGCCACAAAACCTGCAACACGCTTGGAGCAAATGTCTCTCGGTTCGCTATCAACGCTCGCGGTGCCTCGTTATTGTCAACAGCCAAACGCATGCAATCTCCAAATTCACGGCTTTTGCGACGCATCGATTCGAGCATATGGTTGTTCTTTGTACTTGCGCACTGAAGGCACAGATGGAAATATTGCTGTTCACTTGCTGACATCGAAGTCACGATTGGCTCCTGTCAAAAAACAATCGCTTCCGAAACTCGAGCTTTGCGGAACGCATCTTCTTGCACAGTTGTACAATAAGGTAAAAACCATTTTCTCAGACAAACCCATTTCAGCATACTCTTGGACCGATTCGCAACTAGTGCTTCATTGGCTGCAACAGCACTCGGTCTCATTGTCAACGTTTGTAGGCAACAGGGTCTCCGACATACAGGAGCTGACAGCAAACGGATATTGGAGATTCGTACCGACTCAACAAAATCCCGCAGACTTGGTATCTCGTGGTTGTACTTCCACTGACTTGAAAGCATCGAACTGGTTTTCAGGCCCATGGTTTCTACGTGAAGACAAGTCGTCGTGGCCCGCCAAAAAGAGCAAACTTGACGTCGATATTAACGTAATAAACGCAGAAAAGAGAAAAAGCTTGTTTGCTGTTGTTGCAGAAACGAACTACATCCTGGATACTATTGAAAAAATCAGCTCATATATGCGCTGTCTACGACTCATTGCTCGGATGTTCAGGTTCAGTGACACATGCAGAAAAATTTCCAGATCAACGACTTTTTTGCCCACACCTCAGGAACCGCGACGTGCGTTACACTCTATCGTTTGGAATATTCAGCAACAACATTTCGTCGACGACTTCCATTTGCTAAGAAAAAATCTGCCACTAAAGAGCAACTTAAAATTTCTTACACCATTTTTAGACAACTCAAGCGGTTTCGAACTTATTAAGGTTGGTGGTCGCTTGGAGTATGCAGATCTGCCGGACTCTCAAAAGCATCCAGTCTTATTGCCCAGCAACTCGCAATTTGTGGCAAAACACCTTCGTCATTTACACCTGCAAAATTACCATGCAGGTCCTAAGGCATTAGTAGCTTTAATTCGCCTCGAATTCTGGATAGTTAACGCCAGGGATGTCGCTCGTCGTATTGTGCGCTCGTGTGTACATTGTGTCCGTTACAGACCAAAGCTGTTGCAGCAGGTCATGGGACCGCTACCGGCTGCTCGCCTCGCACCTGCCCGTCCATTTGAACTCTGCGGGGTCGACTTTTGTGGACCCATCAACACATACTTGAGCATTCGTGGAAAGCCACCGAACAAGTCGTATCTGGCTGTTTTCGTTTGCTTGCTGACCAAAGCAGTTCATATTGAGGTAGTCTCAGATTTGTCCACGAAGGCTTTTTAAATTCACTTAAACGCATGGGTAGTCGTCGGAAAATGCCTTGCGATATATTTTGCCATAATGCTACGAATTTTGTCGGAGCAGCCAATCACCTTAAAGAGCTTAAGCAATTTCTGTTTAATCCTGAGACACAAAATGAAATTTTCAAATTTTGTTCATCAGACTTTATCAATTTTCATTTTATTCCTCCCAGGGCACCTCACTTCGGCGGCCTCTGGGAAGCCGCTGTAAAGAGCGCAAAGGGTCTTCTTAATCGCAGACTGGCAAACACTAAACTAACATTTGAAGAGCTGAGCACCGTCGCTGCTGAAATAGAAGCAATACTCAACTCCCGTCCACTTTCGCCACTGTCGTCAGACCCAAATGATTTCGGAGCTCTGACTGCTGGACATTTTTTGGTTGGTGATTCACTACGAGGCCTACCTGAGCGTTCCCTGGAACATAAAAATATCTCCAGTCTAGATCATTTTGAGATGATCACCTCAATTAAACAACGCTTTTGGCGTCGCTGGTCTGCAGACTACGTTAACGAACTGCGCGCACGGGTCAAATGGGCGACACCTACACTAAACCTCAAAGTTGGAGCCCTAGTAATAATTCATGACGACAACCTACCACCACAGCGCTGGAAACTTGGTCGCATCGAATCCACCGTGCTTGAGAGAGATGGTAAAGTTCGCGTTGTGCACCTTCGCACTGCTAATGGACATTGTTGCCGCCCGATACACAAATTAGCCCTCCTACCTGTATCTTGAAAGATGGTTCTTTCAACGGGGCCGGGATCTTGGATCACCCTAATAGCATTAATAGCAAATATTAAAAAACACTCATTTCATGAGTTAATAACCACCCGTAATGTACTTATAAACTAAAACACACTCATTGTGAACACACATATGTATACAAATGCACACACACCTAACGTTAAGAATCAACGTCTCATTGCACTCATTCTCAGTCTCACTTAATATTTTAGTTATGCATACATAAATTGAATTCTAATAAAACACAGCATATCGATCTCTCATTTGGAACGGGTCGCTTTTTATTGTCTTCGCTTTGGTACGTTGGATTTTGCTGACAGTTGCTAAGCTAGTTTTCCGCATCACATACGGACAAGCATATCTTTGCTCATTGCTGTTACAATTTATTCGCTGGCCAACATTTGCACACCCCCACTTCCTAAGTTTCGTGCTGGCAAAGAAAAATATCTTTGTATCAACAGTACCGTTCACAATTGATGAACCAACATTTAACTGAAGTGTTACGAACGGCTTTAACTGACCTAAAACCAGATTTTGAAAATTCGGCCAGTGATCTTTTGAATTTTCTTTAATATCTATCTTACGTGTATTAGAATAATAATAAAGTCAATGTTTTTAATTGCTAATAATAATTTTATTTAAAAATAAAATTTTTGTTTTTGTTGTTTTTTGTGGCTCTTTGTAGAATTTAGAATTTACATTTGGCTCTTTTCGGCCTCGCCCTTGCACAGCCCAGATATATATAGTTTTTTTTTTGTAATTTTTCTTACTTCTTTTTCGCTCTGTAACTTTTTAAAGAACAAATAAAAAAGTGGTGTACATATATTGTACAATGGAGCGCATACGTAGTTGGCTAAATTTTGCAATTGCAGACGATGTGCTGATAAAAAAAATATGCATTTTTACTTTTGTGCACGCGCCGTAACCTTTTAAAGAATTTGTTTTTTTAACTATCTTCTAATGAGATCACATAAGCCTGCCACGTCTACATCGAATCTTTTAATGCTCCAGAACTCTGTAGAAGTTGTCCGATAATAATTTTAGGCACGCACCAGCTACAGTATATTTTAAAAACAGCGAGTGTCAGAATTTAAAAAAAGGAGTCACGCCATTTTGATTCTTCCTAACTCCTTTTATATTGCAAGCAAATACTTCTAACGGGCTGCATTCGATTCTTCTCTCCAAATACTACAAGTTAATTAATTGATTTTACATTCATAATCTACACAACACATGTAACCTGATTTTTGTTAATAAACCAGCGAAAATTATGTTTCCGAATAAAAACTGGCGACGCATGCGAAAGTTCGAGCTAATGCCCATATGTATGCTTTATAACCAAATTCATCACCAAAACAAACGCGAAAAATCCCATGCAACGCCGTTGAAAATTTTTCGCGATAACCTGTTGTGATCTTTTTTCCTATTTATGGGCGGCCGACATCGGCGATGTTCGGACTTCTCATATTGCAATGAGAAGCAATTTCTTTGATTTTTGTGTTCCCAAATGACAGCGGAAATTTTTTTATTGATTGCATTCCAAATATGAGCCATAATAATTTGTTGGGATTTTTCTTTCGCTTTAAGTGAATGTAAAGTAAATTTGAAATATTATCGATCAAGATAAATGTCATAAATGAATGAAAAGGAATAATCACAAATGATAATATCCGAACCGTGACTACTTAGTATACCTACAATGGTATACACCAGAGATGGGCAAATTGGCTCCCAGGAGCCTTTTGCACTGAGGAGCCGGCTTGGCTCATTTAGGTTGCAAACAGAGTGGAAGCGAAGCCGAAGACGAAGATGAAGACGAATCCGAAGACGCATTGCTTGCGTTGCGGGCAAGCTGGCGAGTGTACATAGTGGAAGATAAATGATATGAAGCTTTGTTTCTAAATAAAACCCTTTTTTTAGATTAAATCAAAAGAAAATAAAGAAAAAACAGCAATTCATGAAATAATTTGTATAGGACAGCTTTTGGAGAATTTCGCCACTTGTATTATGTGTTACGGCAAGACGGACAGACATTTTTCGAATATACAAGAATGCCAATTAATACGTTTGATTACATTTTGCCCGAAAATTTAGCCAATTTCTTAAAAAACGCGTTTTTTCACATTTGCAAACAGTAAAATAAATTGTAAACAACTCATCACAGCAAGCGATTCGTCTTTGAAAACAGTACCGCACTGTTTCAAGCTGACCGCTTGCGCAACATCTTCATCTTCGTCTCCGTCTTTGCTTGCACTGTGATCACTTTCATATGTTTACTACTGCACTGTTTTTCGTCTTCGGCTTCATCTTCATCTTCGTCTTCGGCTTCGCTTCCACTCTGTTTGCAACCTTAGGAGCTTGATGAGGGGGGCATCAAGAGCCAGCATGAAGGGGGAAGAAGAGCGTAATAAAACAGATTGTACTCCGACTCTCATTACTAATGCAAACATTAAAAGAGAATGAGAACATATGCATACATGTACATTTGTGGTCGCCAAAAGTTGAACTGTGACTATGTTGGTGAGAACAAGAAAACTGCTCCGCATGTGCAACCTAGTAGGAAACTACGAGAACTAGAACAAAATTTTTAAACTATCGGGCTTCAATAAAATCATATAATAAATACATATATTTAACATATATACATATGGGCATAGATCATTTACTAGAAAAGTGTCATAATCCAAAAAAAATAAAAAATCGTGTTAAGAATGAACGTTACCTCTTTCCTATGATGTGTAAAAGTTTCAAACCTGTAACAATTATCAGTAACTCACTAGAAAAAAATATGTATTAGTTTTTACCATGGGAGTAGATATATGCAAATTAAAAACTTTAAAGCCGTTTTTCTCGAGTTTTTAGTTCTTTGAGTTAAGATAGTATTGAAGTCAATGAGCGATAGGTATGGTATGTACATACATAAAAACTTAAACTAAAAATTTAAAAATTCATTTGGATGCAACCACGTCAAATCATTGCCTGCCACCAAAAGCATTTTCAAGCAAAGTATGTATGTACATACTTATTTTTCGCAAGGCATTTTTGAATTCAAGTAACAAAGCAGAACAGCTATGCGCGAGGTTAATTCGTTGCTGTCTCGCCAACTCTGAGCACAAGTGTGCTTCCCACCAGCTTTGCCACAGACACATGTTTTTTCCTACCTAAATTTCCTACCATAACCAACCAAAACCTACCAAACATTTTTTTCAGTATTAATTATTTTTTCAATGTCAAATTTATTAAAAACATAGCTAACATAATATTTGGTAAAACTAAAACACAGCTAGTACAATAAAACCAAATTAGCTGAGTATAACGATTTATTTTACTGTACATACATACATATCATCATTAGATACGAATAAAGACGCGAGCTCAAAAGTTGACAGCGAAAAAAGACACGTAAAAAAAATTCGGCGAAGAAGAACTCTTAACATAGGCGAGGACAAAGAAAGACGCGTTAACCTCTTTGACGGGGAGAAAGACGAAGAAGACTTATTTTCGCGGTCAACATTACCTTGTTTGTATGGCACCTAAAACGGTTTCATATATACTCGTGTCAATGTATCACGCTTGTGTTACAAGCGTTTATACATACCGAAATTAGTGTGTTCAATGAACACACTTTCAAAACGCGTGAAAAATCAGCTGTTTTTCAATTTAAAAGCAGCATTCATAAGAAAAAGATGGAATACAATACACACAAGTTTTTATTTTATTATTTAATGGAGCGGATGCGGAGAAAACGAAAAGTTATTTTTCAAACATTTTTTAACTACCACCACCAAGTGTTGCAGAACTCGTACCATGAAAAAAGCTCATTGAAATGTATCGCATCGTTCCAAAGCGACTTGCCAGAAATATTCTTTCGAGTAAACGTTCCCCGATTTCGCAGCATTCATCGTCGAGTGCGACTTGATAGTTACCTGTGGTTTCTACAACAATCAGGAAACGAAAACTTTTATTATGAGCTATTCCGCATGAGCAAAGATTCTTTTAACATGCTTTGTAAAAAATTGTCGCCTTATCTAACTTGTCCAGAGGTATTTGTGACACCACCTTTGACAATTTCACACCAAGTCGCGCTATGCTTGTTTAAAATCGCTTCATGTGCAGAGTACCGTGTTGTTGGGGATGTGTTTGGGGTGCATAAAAGTACGGTACACAAGTACTTTTACCTCGTAATTAAAGCAATACTGCAGCTTCGAGCGGAGTACTTTTATTTTCCAAAGCTAGAGGAGGCCAAAACAATCGCTATTGCCTTTCAAAAAATAACCAATATACCTAATATCATTGGTGCAATTGATGTTAATCAAAAACTTCCAATGAGCGAAAAATCCGATATTGAACAAAATAATTTAATTTTCAGGAACACACATCCCGATTTTGCCCCCCAGCGATGGCTATCAAGACTATCTAAATAGAAAAGGATGGCCATCGATAGTGATGCAAGCAGTAGTTGGTAATAATTACATGTAAGCTTAATCCACCAAAATAATAAAATAAACTGCAGTGACATTAAAACCAATGTATTTTTCAAGATTCCGTGATGTGAGTATAAAATTTCCAGGAAGCACCCATGACGCTACTGTCTTTAGGGAGTCTGGACTTTACAAGTACTCGTCGCAAATGATACCAAATTACTACACTGACGTCAATGGAATGCAAACGCCCATTATGCTGATTGGTGATCCTGCCTACCCATTGCTTCCATGGCTTATGAATCCTTACACTGGCCATCTGGAGCCCGAAGAAGAATCATTTAACTGCTATATTAGTTCTGGGCGAATAGTTGTGGAAAACGCATTCGGTAGACTAAAAGGTCGTTGGCGATGCCTCTCAAACATAATGGATGTTGATCCAGGATTTATTCCTTTTGTTGCTTTGGCGTGTTCAATATTACACAACTTTGTCGAAACAGAAAAACAGCGCTTTTTGGACTCTTGGTGCACGGACATGCAGAATCAAATCGAATTTCCCCAACCACAAGATGCAGTTTCCAATGAAATCATTAGGGAGGAAAATAGTGATCCGAAACACATGCGCGATAATATTAAAAACTTTTTAAAAGATAATTTTCCAGTGCGAAAATCTCATATTTAAATAAAACCAAATAACACAAGTTTACAGAAATAGAAAATTGTCCGTCCATGAAATTTGTATATGAATTATGATTAGGAGCTATTAACTACATACATACTACTAACAAATGCAGTTAATACTACTAATAATACTGCTAATACTAATACTGATAATAATGATAATACCAATAATACTAATAATATTAATAATAATACTTATAATAATAATAATACTAATACTACTAATACCACTACTAAATGTAAGGGCTAAGCTCAGGACCTTACCGGGGTCACACAGGGCGGATCGTGAACGGCCTACTCCGGTAGGTTAGCTGCGAATAACCAATAAGCAGTCCCAGACCAAGAGCGGCAGGAGACGAGGGCCTGATTTAAAAGATCAGAAATGCTTAATAAATCTCCTGTGTCCGGGCGAACAGATGCCGCCTCCCATAAAGCATCC